GCAGGGGGGTAGGAGAAAGTTTCTTGCAGGAAGCATTTGAGTGTCTTTCTTTAATTTATCAGGGTCCCGGGGGGAAAATAGGTGGCATACTCAAAAAGGTCAACTAAAGAAAGTCGAACGAAAAGACCGTTTCAGAGGTGAGGGAGGTTGAGGGAAGTAACGAGGTGCGCAAAGGTACTTAGGGGCGAGCACCAGCAGAAAGACATTCCCATCTGAGGATGGAAGGAATGAGGGAAGGAGGCTGTTACTGGAACCCAAATAGATTTTTTTTGTTAATCCTCACCCGAGGATGTTTTTCCATTGATTTTTAGAGAGACTGGAAGAGATGGGGAGAAACAGAGAGAAACATCGATGTGAGAGACACATCGATTGGTTGCCTCTCACATGAGATCAGGGCCGGGGATTGAGCCTGCAACCCAGGTACATGCCCTTGATCAGAATCAAACCCAGGACCCTTCAGTCCGCAGGCTAACGCTCTATCTACTGAGCAAAACCAGCTAGGGCAAGATCTTTAGCAGATACAGGATGCCTCAACTGGAGATGCATCTGTAGGTGGAGGAAAACAGCCACTGACTAGACTGCGGCCTGGCAGGGTGGGATTGAGGAAATTAATACTCTGGCCGTTTCAATACCTAGTCCTCTGAGTTTATTCAGAATCCAGAAGGCACTAAATTCAGGGTTTATGCAGTCCATAAAAATTGGCTTCCTCAACACAGAGCAAGCATAAAAGACAAACACACACAGAATGGACCGAGAGGCGGGAGAAATAGAGAATATTCAGCGCACTCCAATGGAGAAACAGCGGGAAGAGCAGGGGGCGAAGGGCCTGTCCTATAGGAGTCACTGAAACAGGCAAAAATTGGAGATTGGCTCCTGATGAGATATCTAAGAAAATCACTTGGTCTCATGGCAGCAAATTATGTGCGATTCCCAGAGATGATCCCAAAGCAAGAGTGCTATCCTCCTCCTTATCTTTCTTCCTGTATAATGCGCCTGCTGGAGATTTCTATTTGCATCACAGGGCTCACAGACTCGCTTTGGTCCTGACACTGTGGGTACCATTTCAAGATCTAAGGCCTTACCTTAAGAGCGTATGTTCCAGTCTGTGAGACAGGTGAATAATTAGAATTTCGTGTGAAGGGTGCTGTATTAGAAGCATTAGTGAGGGTTGAGGAAAACTGATGAGGGAGTGAATTACATACCCTGAGCAGGTCAAAGAAGTTTGCGTAGGATAAACGACCTCTGAGCTGGATCCAGAAAGATGTAGAGAGTATCAGCCGGCACAGCAAAGGGGAAGGCTATTCCGTTTGGAGGAATGACTGGAATCTGAGATAACACCTGAGATTGGCAGTCTGTTTGGGAATTAGTGAATGGTAGTGCTTGTGGCTAGTTTGTGATGTCTCTTTTCATACTTGGCAATGGTAAGCTCTTGGAATTTTGTAAAGCAGGGCATGACAAGGTTAAGATTACCCTTTAGAATCCAATGAGGAGACACAAACCTATTGATGAGTCTTGGGTTGGAGGTAGATGGAAAAGTGCAGTGTGTGTCTTATGTTAAGGTGAGTGAGTGTGTGTGTGTGTGTGTGTGTGTGTGTGTGTGTGTGTAGAAAGATGTCACTGACAGGTCTCAGCAAAGCCAATCCAACGTGGGTGCACAGAAAAGATCTTTTCATATAGCATGCACACAAAACATGTGCTGAGGAAATGAAGAAAACCAGGTTCCGATGTAGGTAGGAGAAGCGATAGGTTAATTCGGCTTTTATTAATATATGTATTTACTTATTCGTCCCATCTTTTGTAAGCCTCTTTGTGTGCTAACTCAGAAATAGAATGGAATGCATGTTTAATTTATGTGTCATTTTCAGGAAAAAGAGTGTGTGTTGGAGAAGGCCTGGCCCGCATGGAGCTGTTTTTACTACTGACCCACATTTTACAGCATTTCACCTTGAAACCTCTGGTTGATCCGAAGGACATTGACACCAGCCCAGTTGTCAGTGGGTTCGGCTCTGTACCTCCCTCCTATGAGCTTTGTTTCGTTCCCGTCTGAGGAAGGGGCAGGTTGCAGAACAAGACTCTCGCCTCATCTGAACGAGCCAGACGCACTCTGTTTGGTGTGTTAGGCGTTACCCACCTCTTTCGTACCAGGAAGAATGACATTCCTGAGCTCTGTCTCTTCTAATTTTCCCATCCTTTAAAAAATAAAACAATAGTCCTAACTGGTTTGGCTCAGTGGATAGAGCATTGGCCTGCGGATCAAAGGATCCTAGGTTCAATTCCGGTCAAGGGCACGAACCCTCGGTTGCAGGCTCCTCCCCGGCCTTGGTCGGGGCTCGTGCAAGAGGCAACCAATCGACATGTTTCTCTCACATCGATGTTTCTCTCTGTCTTTCCCTCTCTCGTCCACTCTCCCTAAAAATCAATGGAGAAATATCCTCAGGTGAGGATTAACAAAACAAAACAAAAGAAAAAAACCATAAAGCCTCTAGTATGAGACATAAGAGAAAGTCTTTATGACCTTGAACTCTGCAAAAATTTCTCAAAAATGGGCCAATAAAGCACTAATTATAAGAGATCAATAAATACTAATTTAACTTTAGTTAAATTAGTATTTAAACTCCTACCTATTCATCAAAAGATACCATTTAAGATACTCAAAAGGCAAGGTACAGACTGGGAGAAATATCTCCAATGAATATATCCACAAAAGGACTTATATCCAGATTTCATAAAGAACTAAAAACAACACAAAGACTCCCAAGTATTTTTTAAATGGGCAAAATGTTTGAATAGTCACTTCACAGGAGAGGATTTTCATGTGGTCAAAAAACGTGAGAAAAAGTCCTCAACTTTATTAGTTGTGGGGGGAATAAAAATTAAAACCACACTGAATTACTCGTGTGTACCTACCATCTGCTAACATACATGTTCCAGGTGAGCAAGGATCTTTGTTTTGCTCACTAACAAATATCCGTCGGCTGGAGTAGTGCCTGGCACATTTTGGCTCAGTAAATATTTGAGAAAATGAATGACTACTTGAATGAATGAAGAATGAATGAGTGAATTGTTTGTGGGAGTGTGAATTCATGCTTTCTCTTGGAAGGTGGATTTGACCATGTCTGTTAAAATGAAAAGGCACATACCTGTCTTTCAAGCAATTCCGCTTCTTACGAATTTATTTCATGGATATTCTTGAATGTGTCCCTTAGTCGCATGGATGTGGACGTTCATTTCATGATTATTCATGATAGATTTGAAAAAAATTAAAGTGCTACTGGAGGTGGTAAGTGCATTGTGGGGCATCGTTACAATAGGTAAAAACGACCCTCACAGTGATACAACTTTGAAGAATTTATGATGTGGTAGACCCTATTCTCCTATGAAAACAACATACTCAGTCCTTATATTCAGTGAAATTGGTACAGTTTAATCCACCCCCATTTAACTGATATCGACACTGAGGCACAAACATGTTCACTGACATGTCCAAAATCACAAGGCCAGCAAGTGGTCCAGACTTCCATAAACCAAGTCTAAAGAAACAGTGTCTCTCAGCTGGTCCTTCTCCATCTGGATTCCAGTGCCTGTGTGGGTACCAGAACCCACAAATAATAGCTCATGTTTTTAGCGTTTAACATTATGCTCTGGCTAAATCATCTCATGTAATCCTCACAACAGCCCTCTGAGGTCAGGACTGCTACCCTCCCCATTTCAGAGATGAGAAGAGAGACACACAAAGGTGAAGTATCCTTCCTACCCAAGGACATTTGGTTTATAGGTGGCAGAGATAGGACTTGAACCCTGACCATCTGACTTCAGAAGCCACATCTTAATCAACAAGCTACACCGTCTTTCAGAATGTACTTAAGGAATGACTGTGTGATGAGTGAGTGAGGTCAGGGATTGAAATCAGGACAAACCAGACGCCCCACCATGTTCCCAGAACTCACTCCAGGGCAGGAGCTATGGGGCTGGGATGGAAGTGGGTCCCTTTCCTGAAGTCCAGTGATATGGTGGAGAGGTTAATCCTGGCCATGCTGGAGTAGCTCGATAAATCTCACTTTCTCCCAGAGAACAATGTTTCAATTTGGAGAAATTACAAGAAAGCAGTTCATGGAAGTCACTGGAGAATCCCTCAAATTGGGCGGATCCTGGCGGGTAGCTGTGAAAATAATGTGCAAGCAGGGGTTTGTCTGAGGGCGAAGCTGTTCAGGCAAGAACAAGCACATAGTAGTTTCGCTTATGTTCACTTTGCATCTTGACGATGATAATAGTTTTCAGAAGTTTTATTAAATAGAGATAATTTATGTTGTTCTTGTTCTGTTGTACAGTCTAGATCAGTGATGGCAAACCTATGACAGGCATGTCAGAGGTGACACGCAAACTCATTTTTTTGGTTGATTTTTCTTTGTTAAATGGCATTTAAATATATAAAATAAATATCAAAAATATAAGTCTTTGTTTTACTATGGTTGCAAATATCAAAAAATTTCTATATGTGACACGGCACCAGAGTTAAGTTAGGGTTTTTCAAAATACTGACATGCCGAGCTCAAAAGGTTCGCCATCACTTCTAGATACTATAAGTAGCAGATCTCAATTCCACAGGTTCGTGCACTTTCTCCAAGGCACACATTTTCTGTGAGCAGTTCAGGTACTAGATTCCCTTGATTTATCAAAACACTGTTCCTTGATCTTCATGTTATCTGTACTCCCGTGGGAAGAGAAAGCAAAAGATGCTTCTGGGCCTTAATATATATCTGTTGATTAAAATAATAGCTTTGAATTGGGTGGTGAGTGGTGAGAGATTGTGGAGGGCCAGAGGCTGGATGCTCTGAGAGCTGGTGCCCTGTACGTGTGGGGTCCAGGTAGCGGTGAGGCCCGCTCAGCAGTGTAGGTGCACTGGAGGGTGGGCATGCAGATGGGATTCCTCACATGAGCTGCAGCTCCACAGGGCTTTCCCTTCTCCCTCAGAGCTGCCCCTGTTCCCTGGAAGGTTCCGGGGTAAGGAGCTCCCAGGATGATCACAGGCCCCTCCAGATTCACGTGTTCTTCTCAAAGGACCTGTTGCTGTGACTCTCTCTTGTCAGTTCTGACAGACTGTGCTTAAGGAAATGGCCCATTTCACATAGGTTATTAAATTTGTGGGCATAGAGTTGTCCATAATATTCCTTTATGAGCCCTTTAATGTCTATGGCATCAAAGCAATGGCCCTTCTTTTCGCTTGGACAACAGTAATTTGTGTCTTCTCTCTTTTCAGGGGGTACTGGCTATATGAGTTTGTCAATTTTACTGAACTTTCAAAAACAGCTTTTTTATTTATTAACTAGTAGCCCGGTGCACGAAATTCGTGCACTAGGGTAGAGGGGGGAAAGGGGCCCCTCAGTCTGGCCTTCACCCTCTCCAATCTGAGACCCCTCAGGGAATGTCCAACTACCTGTTTGTGCCCACACTTTTAACAGATAAGAGCTCCATTGTTGTTTCTTTCTTATGCTTAAAACCATTGGAATTAGTAGTTATTCAAAGTGTGTATACATTTTGGGGGGGCACCCTGTATATCTCTAGTCAGCGGTGAAAGAAACCAACAGCAGATTTGGAACCCCCAGACAGGGAACCTTGCTCACTCCCCACATGTCTCCCCACTTCACTTTTCACCTTCGTGGGCAGCAGGAGAATCAACATTTTCTCTCATTAATTGGGAAAAGCACGTCCTGTCACCCTTGCCTGGCAGGAGTGCACTAGGCCCCAAGCAAGCGAGGCTTAGTCAGGGCAGCCTTTGCTCATGGGTGCTGGCACCCAAAGTGCACATTCCTCCTCTACAGTTGCCCCGACTATCCCACTGTTTCACTGAGAACTGCCTCTGGGTTCTTGAGC